GGCATTTCAGCCCAGAGGCCCACCGCCGCCCACCCCGCGTGCGCTCGCCGTGGAGGGTACAGCGGTCTTCTGCCGGTCTCGTTTTTTCTCGGTGTGTGGCGTCTTTACCTTTCCGCCACACGTACGTTTCAATGCTGGCACATTTAGGAGCGTGAAAGGGTCGTATTATTCAAATGAATGAAATGTTAGTTACAGAGCCAGAAACCGTGCTGCTTTGAAAGCATCGGTGGCGCGGAATGTATTTTATTGTTGGGTATCTAGCAACCACTGAATGCACAGTCGTTCACGAAAGAAGGATCTGTTAACTGGAACAGTAATACCAAGTATCCAAGGGAAAAATCAGAAATATTCCAAGCATCATAGTGAAACAAATATTAGCTTCCATGGACCCTTTGATAGTTAATTAACCTGCAAATTAAGGACATGAAGTGTCTTTTTCCGCCGTGCAACTTAATTGCCTGTCGGTATTGCTGAGAGGTCTAAGCAGGAGGAGAAGTAGGCTGAAGACAGGCACATTGTGAATAAAATTGTATAGTTTAAACATAGCTTGAAGTAGTTTGTTCACTCTGGGAGGAGGAGATAGAGTAACTACTCCTTGCTGTCCTATCTATTAGAGAGTGTGTCTGTGTTTCTGGTGCAGACTTCTGAAAGAAAAGATGTTTTTGAAGCAACCAGGGTATGGATTTCCAGAGGGAGAGTTAGAGAAAAGCAGCATTTTGGAGGTGAAAAGGAAATCTCTTCTCAGCACCGGCCGCTGGTTTCTGTTCAAAGGCACACTTGCCATGAAGGATGCCCAGAAGTAGACTGAAGTCCAGACGTGAAGCGAAGTTCGTAGGGAGAGATAATACGCTTGATTTGACAGACTGCTAGGAGCAGTGGTTAGTTAAACAGAAAGGGGCTAGAAGAGCTGCCAGATTGCATCATGCGTTGGAAAAGGTACTTGGCTTAACTATACTTGAGAGGAAGTTGGAAGGACTTTGACATAGGGCCTCCATTTTCAAACCTGAGTGTAGGTTTTAGTGTAATAAAGTTAAAAATAACCAGAATATAGACCTTTCAGTTGCTGCAGGTGGTATGTAAATGCAAATGGGGGTCCGGACATGTGCAGGTGTATCGTCCTGATTTAAAACTCGTGTAACATGATCCTTTGTGAATCAGCATGCCTTGTCTCTCTGTATTGATGCCAGCTTCTTAGCGACACCCTCCACACCTAAAAACTGGACCTTGCAAAGTGTTCAGCATAGTTTCCTGTCTGTTGAAAGCTTTCAACTTCTCCTTTTGCCATTGACAACTTCTGCTGGCTCCTGGGAGGAATGGCAGGTACCTTTCCTTCCCTCTGAGGAAGCTTCAGTCATTCTTCTCCTTTGTAGAAATAGTATTTATATACTTTGTTACGGGACATTGTTAGAGCCTGATATACGCATTGAAAGGCACATGTATTTCTGCCTTGTATTTGCATATACGCATATATAGTGGGAAAAGACACTAGCATCCATACACGCAGACCCTGACAAAGCATACTAAAGCAGTGACACAGAGGCTTTGCTTTTTTTCCCCCGTATATTACATCTCCAAAGGGCTTTACGGACTGCTTAATATTTTACACAAAATGGTGTGTGAACAGAATGTTAGGTCTGTAAGATGAATTAATCATCAGGAGACAATTATGTTAAGATTATTGGTCTTGATTCTGCTAAAGGTTGCCTCTGTGGTATGATATGATTTTAATTGACAAGTGCTTATGTCTTTTTGCTCCTGTTAGTCCTTTTCCCATTCAGTGTGATGCATGGAGTGTGCTCAGAAAGTGAAAGAGCAATTCAGAAGGTAGCCTTCCCTTCATCGTTCAGTGTGTCCGCTCCATACCTCATGTGCTTCACTGTCTGCTACCTTCCACAGTGCCTGGGGCGGCGTCCAGCAGTTCTGGCATGGGAAGAAAAATTGCTGAAAACCTTTTTTGTCCTTTTATTTTTCTTTATTTTGGTAGAAACTTTTTGTGTTTTGTTGCTCTTGTGATTCTTTGTTAATGCTATAACGCTGTAGGTGTTTGATGTCCATTAATTTGGTATTTGTTTTCCAGTATGTCCTGTCTGTCCTGAAATTTACCTACCCTACCCTTTTTCAAGGGTAAGTACCGTTTTAAGAATACAGTTGTTTGAAAAATGACTTTAATCAGTAAATGTCTTGCTGTTCCATGCTGAAGCTGACTTTAGTACCTCTTGTTATTGCTGGCTTTTGCTGTCTAGAGAACATACTTCATGAAGCCTTAGTAAAACATTAATGAATGTGTCTTGGTTAATTTTTAAACATCATGATGGTGATGTAATTAAGATATATAGACTCCATAATTTCTCTTTTTTCTGGAAGTCTTACGCTTCAGCATAGAAAAGTAGCAATTGCAGTACAGCCTGTCTTCTTTGGAAATGGCACTCATGGATAATGTGCAGTTGTGGTGTATTCTTTTGGTATGCTAATGAAAACCAACCTTAAACCCATGTTTAGGCATACACAAATACCATGTTGCTTATTTTCATGCTTAGCCTTTGCTGTAACTCTGCATCACAAGACACTGTCATATCTTAATGATTGTAATGAGAAATTTAATGTTTTGTCAAATATCCATATATACCATCAGTGCTGTTAATGATTTGTGAGACATTTAGTGAAAATCTGGCTTCTTAGAGTCAAGACTTCCCTCATTTGTTCTTTTGAGATAACGCTAAAGTCTGCAGACACTCACTGCTGCTTAGCATGGCTTATATTTTTGCCTGACGTGCAGCCCCAGGACTGTGATCAACTCTAGGAATAATTGCCTTGGGAATCTCCATTTTTGTTGAGTGTACTCAGCTCTATTAAATAAGCAGCGAATGCTTTCTTCAGTTCTGACACACACAGAGACTGTCTCTTGAACAAGGCTTTTATCGTATGGGGAAAGGGTTTTGGGTAATGTATACAAGTGTGGTAAATCAACAGTAAAAAAGCATATTTCAAGGGTGAGCAACTGCATTATGGTACCTGGGTTACCACAGTTATTTCCTGTTTCTATTATTTGGAAATGCATCTCAGCATCTTAATATTTTTCCATAAGTTCTGTCTTTTAAAGGTGACCTTTTCTTGAAAATTATTAAGTGGCTCAGATGCGCTTTTACGTAGACCTGTGACAGATGAGCAAAGGAGGAAAAGAGTGTTATTCTCAGTTTATGCTGTTATTGTTCGTTGTCATTGGTTTTGTTCCCCATATAATCTAAGACTCTATTGCATAGTGCTAAGTATCTGGAACTGTTACTAACTTCAACTTCTGTCCTTTAAACCTGAGACAAGAGGAAATTCTTCGCAATAAAATCGATGGGAATTAATCACTGGCTTGGAATAGAGCACAGTCAAGCCTGCAGCAAACATCAGGGATACCTGGCTTTTAAGCTCTCGTATGCTCCTCATCTAAAAAAGGTGAAGTGAGCTGTTATAGTAGCGCTGAATATTCATCATACCCATGTGGACAATGAGCTCACTCTTCTCTGACGCTGTCCAACTGTACGTAATACTGTGTAGAGTAAATATTTGTTTATTTGCTTATGTGTGAGAGAGATTTTAAATAATTGCTTAAAGGCATTGCAATGAATGGGAATAATAAATAAAACCACTTCTATACCTGTTACAGATGTTAATGTGATTTAACACTGTAGTACAGTATCTCTGTCTGAACTGTGCTAGACGTTCAAGGATTTTTTCACCCAAGAAACATGAAACACGTCTCTGATAAACACTAGTTTAAGGAATAAGGAAGCTAATAACTTATTTTAAAGTTTAAAAAAAAATCAGTGTGCATCACTACTCATTTTAAGTTATCTGCAAGCATTTCTAAGGCCTCATATACTATTTCCATAATAGACTAAGGAACGCCTTTATGGTAGGATAAGTCATTAAATAGATAAATCAATGCAGAATGTATGTAATTGTTACATACCTTTTCAATGAGGAAACCACAGTACTGTGTTTTATATGCAAGGTTATCTGGCTGTAAAGGCTCTAGAGGCTCTGAATCAGAGGCTCATGCAGCATAATGGTGTTATTGTTGATGACCCTTCACTTGATGCTTGCTATACAAGATGCAGGGCTGGGGAGAGGAAGCAGTCTGAGTTCAAGGGAGTTTGTAATCAAAGCCCAGCATGAATAACCGTGGGAAGTCATAGAGCTAATGTTTGAAACAACTAGGACTACATACGTCATCCTTGGGGCTTATTACTTCAGCTGAAGCAAGTCTTTGGATCCTGAAATCATGTTTATTTGTTCTAACAGTAAGAGTTCATGTATGAAAAGATACTCATCTCTTGTCACAAACCTTGCCTCACTTGCGCCTTCAGATCATTATGGCTGTAACATCACTGTTATTGTAAACCGTGTGTGGGAACAGATGATAAAATGGGGATTCAGTAACATGACTAAGGTAATTGTGGTAAATGGTAATTTACAAAACATTTGAAACAGGAGGTGGAAGAACCAGAGTATTAGAAAATTTGGAGGAAATGAAGGCCCACAAAAAATGAAAGATGCAACGGGGAATAGTGGCATCCCTGGTAACCCGGAGAAATGGTAGATAACTAGTCATGGGTGTGCTGTGAGAAATTCTGTGGTTTCTAAGGTCATGCTCCACGTGGTTAAAAAGGACAAACAGTTCAGAGGTGCTGTTTTGTTTCTATTTCAGGTGGCAGACATTAGTGGGTGGACTTCTGCTTCATGTCTCCTGGAAACTGGGCTGGGTGGAGATAAACTTGTGTTCAAGGTACTGTGGGGTTTTCAGTACCTGCTAAATACTCATTTTCTGTAGCTGGGTTACGACATAGTTAAGTTGGTTGTGGAAGTTACTAACTTGCTAAAATATAAGTCGGGGGGTGTGTGTGTTTGTATGTGTTCTGCTTCACAGGTATAGTAGAGATCTTGTGTTTTAGTCTAATGAATGTTCAGTGACACACAAGTGGATTCAATTTAACCTTGGTAAAACAATCAAAAAAGCATAGTCATTAGTGAAAACTATAAGGATAACTTATCCAACCATCTGTCCACATCTCTTCCCTGGATTATTTTGGAGTATTATAAGAGAAACCTTGGTAACTTTAGTTAAGAGCATTGGCACACGCTTCCCCAAAACCTCAGTGCAGTGAAGTCCACAAACGTGATCTGCCTTTTTCTGTAAGAAGTCTGTCTTCCCATAAATGGGAATCATTCACCCTTGCCTAACTCTAGCATTTATAACTGCACAGCAAGAGCAGCCATTGCAGTAGAGGATTGATATAATAATCAAACTCCAAATTAAAAGGTGCTTTGTAGACAAAGATCATCTGCTTGAACTGAGTGTGACGGCAACTCAGAAGAGTCGTCCAGCATACTGTACTCTGCTCAGGTGGATCCATTCTGCGGTATGGAACGTGGCGTATCTTTTCTTATTTTGCAAAATCTTCTAATTTATAAGATATATGCCCACAGCGATTGTGGAATCTCCATCTCCAGAGATATTCAAAACTTTACTGGACAATGACCTGAGTAATGTGACTTGATTCTGAAGCTGGGGGAGATTGGACTAGATGACTGCCAAAGTTCCCTTCTAATGTAACTTTTTTCAGCAGTTCTGTACTAGCACATCACAACTGATCGGGACTCAAACAGTTGGCTTGCAAAACTCAATCTCCTCATTTGGAATGAAATCCTGCATGTATGTCAGAAGAACCAGGCTAAGTTCTGTTTTCCTGTCCACGCAGGTGGTGACTACATCACCACTGAAACTTAAGTCAAGTTGTAAATGGAAACAGAATTTAACTTCCTATCTTTTATCTGCAGCGTAGATAAAATGAAGGTATTGGTGTAAAAGCTGTCAATGATATTGGTAGAGGCAGGAGTCGGGTCCAAACCTTGCTTTAGTGGCAGTTACTGATATATATATTATTATCAAATGTATATTGTTTATGCAGATTTTGTCTTCACAGAACAGTCTAAAGGACAAAGGAATACAGCCATCAGTAATGTCCTTTTTAGTTCAACTTTTCGTCACTAGATGATTACTTTTGCTTTAAATCATGAAATTAAAGAAGTTGAATCTTTTTTTCCAGCTTGGAAAAGGTATTTTCATTTTTTTCAAAACTAGGAAGACATTAAAGAAAATACTGGACAAGAACTGTTTTGTGCTGTTTAAGAGGATGTTTTTATCCAAGAAAAGTTTTGGTGAAAAATTAGTTCGTGTTTTGGCGATGGAGACTTCAGGCCACTAGATGTCAGCACACTATAGGAAAAGTGATTAAAACACATCTTGAGAAACCTCTTCATTAGTTTAGCTAATACAGAATGCCTGTTCTAGAACAGGCTGAATGAAGTGAACAGAATTAATTGACATGTTTTGGCTATAATTCAGCCAACTACTTAAGCAAGAGTTTAAATCTGTCTTTCTTCAGAAGAATTAGGCACATGCTTTAATGCTTTGCTGGACTGGACTTGTAGTATGTATCTCCTGTATTTAAAAAAAAAAATAAAATCAACCCCCCCACCCCCAAAACCAACCAAAAAACTCCCCAACAAACAAACATAATGTCTCAAAGTTTCTGTCTACCACTCCCTCTCAAGCTCTTTCGCCCTCCAAAGGTGATTTTTCTTAGTACTACCACTGGGATAAGGACATTCTCTACCCCCCCACCCCTGCCCCCCCTTACAGAATATTGGTCTCTGAATCTGTGTGTGTGTGTGTGTAGGATAGTTAAGAATACCATATGCAGTCCTCAGTCTTGTCATGCTTCAAATAATAAACTGCCACCCATTTGTTTGTTTATTTCCACAAAGTCCTAGTACTTCTGTCACGTGGACTGATCTCATATGCTTTCTGAGCCAGTTCAGCTTATCCCAAAGTGTCTCAGCAGAATTTTATTACATAGAGATCATCACCCTTTGTCTAAAGTCTGGAATACTAGCTTCACAATAAAGACCAAATAAAAACATATTACTTAGAGTAATTTCTTTTAGGTTTTGTGGGTATCCTGCTTTTCATCTGCTTCCCCCCCAGTACTCGCAGCTGTAAGGGACTCAGTCACCATCATCATTGCTTCTAAATGGTGAATGGTGACTGTCTGCAAAACTTGTACCCGAAACAAGGCCTCTGTGGAGCACAGAGGAATATGTGTAGCATCTGCATAATGCTTCTAGCACTGCAATCTGCTGCCCAGCTTCTGCCTAACCCTTGTAGGCCCATAAGTCCTGTGAGTTCTGGTTGGCATTTCTTGTAGTGCTGAATTTTCCCCACAGCTAAGCAGCAGCTCAGAGCCTTGCTTAAACCAAAGCTCTGAAGTGTGGTTTAGGGGAAGCTACCCATTGACTTCAGTGGGCTTTGGATCTAGCCCTACAACCACAAGCTCATCAGTTCTTTTATGTCACTGAGATTTCCTGTTTTGCATGTACATCACTGTATTGCCAACATAAGAAGCTACTAATTGGTTTACATACAAGACAGATTGTTGGTGCTGACACGTTACATCAAACATCCATGCGTTCTTTTTCAGTCCTGAAATTCCCACTTGGCAGCATAAAATTCTACCCTTACATCATGGAAAAAGCATCTGAAGTCCTTTTCCGTTGCACTTTGCAGTATTGCACTGGAGATGAAGATATATTTGGGGTTCCTAGAACTTAGTGGTGGGGAAAAAATTATGTTCTAAATGAAAATTCAGCTTACATTGTGTGTTCCTTTCATCTTCCCAGCCCACCTTTTCTTTTCTCCCCTCCCCCTTTCTTCCATTTGTTGCAGTTCCAATAGGGTGGGGATATTTTTGTTGGTGTCTGATGTGAACTCGTTGGTAATGAGGTATGACAGTTTTAGATCCTGGTCTTGGTGAAATTCCAGTTGAAGTCAATAACCTTAAAAGGAACAGTGTTTTTATAAAAAATGGTGGTGACTACCCCAACAAACAGAGCAAATATTTATCCCAGTGAAAGAATATAAAGATTACTCTGTTTTTGTTACCCTGGGTTTTTGATCAAGTATCCTAGAAAATTATGTATTAAAAAAAGAGAGGAAACACGGTGTTTAGTTTTTTTTTTCCTTGTCTGTGTTTACATGAATCTTTGGGCATGTTTTACCTTCATTCAGACTGTTCTGATTCCATCGTTTAGTAGTCTATTTTTCTTGTGTTCCATGAAGTGTGGTAGTGTAGCGGTACTTATAATTACGTTTTAACTCTTGCATGCTAGTTGGAAGTGTAAATCCAAGTGAAGGAACTACATGCAGTTCGGTTTCGTTTTGAGAACCAGCATTATTCACTAACATTTTCTCGACTTTAGTTCAAAGCTTGGGAGGAGTGAATGGGGGTAGCGGTGTCTTCAGTCCTGGGAAGCCCTTGGATCAGGCCTTTAGATCACTGCTCCTCCTTTCCTCCCTTGCTCAAAATCTTACATTATTCTCTCTGAAATTTACCACCTACCTGATCCCTTTTCCCCTTAAGTACCAAGATAAAAAAAGAAGTGCAAATTCTGAAGCCCCTTCTCAGAACTGAAATCTGACCCTACTGCAATAACCGTGGCTAAAAAAAATACCAGATCAATCTGTGATGACTTCATTTCTCCATTAGTTGTCAAACTGCCTCTAGGAGTTTGGCTTAGTCAAAGGAGTATCATTAGGAAATCTCAAGAGACAGGCTCCCACAGAGACAATCTGATCTTTAGGAAGAATCTCGTTGTAAATCTGGCTGAGAAATGAATGCGTGGGTGGGCAAGTGTATTTGTACATAGTGAAAATGTGTGCTGTCTGTGCAAGTACGCCATTTTATGCCTTCATTTGTCAGTTTTTCTTCCTTTTACAGCACATCAAGGAAATTAGTTGAAATTTCTCTCCCTTAAAACCAATAGGAGTAATTGCTGTGAAACAAACAATTTTGCAGGCAAGGGAGCAAAAAGAGTAAAAGAAAGAAAATGTATCTGCAGATAGTTCCTGTCTGGGACTAGATGAAGTGATTAATTTCTGTCTCAGACTTCTTTACTACATGGGAGGAATACTGAACAGTCACACAATGAATTTAATATGCACACCTTTGAAATATATGTACATATAAACATATTATTATATTCCTTGCAAGCAACACTTGCTGACTGTATGTAAACAGAATGTGGTGAAGTAATGGGATTTTAATTGTTTTCACAGGTCTGAAATCCTGTCATGGCTTCCTGCTTCAGTACTGTTTGTTGGCATTATTTATGCTGGCTCTAGGGCACTGTCTAGATTGGTAAGAAACGCACAAGTAGAAGTCAGTTCTTTATTACCTCTACTGTATGAGTAAAGAACATTCCCTTCACACAAGGTGTTTAATGCTGTTCCTGGGTTGGGGGGAAAGAAGGGAGGAGGGGCTTAAATAATACATACAGTGCTAATGGTGCTAGAGCAGCAGTCCAATCCGACGAAGTGTGGAGCGGTATCAAAAAGCACTTCCGCGACAGTCCAAAGCACTCAGCATCTCTCCAGAGTACTCGATGTTTTGCAGAACAGATCCTCAGTGGTCTGAATTGTGCGAGTAGGGAAGAAGCTGAAGAAGTTACTAGCTGTAACGTTGCCAAAGGGGGAATGGGGCTGTGGGATCTGTGGGAAGTCCTTCCAGGAAAAGGATGAAGACTATTTCATTGAGAGGCTTTTGATGCTTCACAGGATTTGAAAACATAAATTGGAAGTTGGAAAGAGGTTATGGGAAGGGTTAGATTAATCAGTTTTATGATCCATTTGATTCACAGTAACCTACCGAATGTTTAGAGGATATCAAATCTGCTTTCATTAAAGTTGAACGCTTTTTACTTAAATGATATAGTCTTTCTTAAAAAAAAAAGCAGTGACATTAATTTTTACAAAACAGCAATGTTTTACTGCTGTTACGCAGTCTGCAAGGCCAGATTCTGCACTAGTTCCCTTCTGCATTCTGTCAATGCGTCTTAATCTAATTCCAGAGCCAGCTCGCTCCTGCCAGCTCCTAAACCCCAAGAAGGATCAAAAGGGAATTTTTGACAAGATTCTGCTTGTAGTGATCCCCTGAACATCCCAGTGGAGAGGTAGGGCAGAAAAAGACAGCAGGTCTCTGTCCTCACAAACAAGGCTGGGGGCCTCATCTTGGACCCAGGTGACCTTTGGAAAGCACAGGCGTGTGCTCAGAAGCCCCATGCCTCTAGATTAGCTCTGTCTCGGGGTGATTGCGTTTACTTCCTCTCGGTTCCTTATCAAAGCAAGTTCCACTGGGCTTCCCTAGTGTAAACTGAGCAAAGATCCCGAAGGAGAGCCCTGTCTGGAAACAGCAATAAAGCCTTGGCAGCAGCATCTTTTCTCTCTGCTCACCTGGGAGGTGGAGGAGGTATGAATCACATCCTCTCTGCTATTTCTTCTTACTTCCTAGTCATCCTGTAAGTTACCTTGTTTCCCTCCTGTCCCTGCTCTGGTCATTCAAGAGTGAGATGCACTGGAGTGGCAGAGGGGCTCTGAATGGTTTTGGTTTGTATCCCAAACCTTTGTTAAGGAGCATCTCCCATTTCTGAGTGGCTTTTTGTTGTACATGAATGGGGATTTAGCGGCCTAATTCCGTGGCCATTTTAGGAGGAAAGACAAAAGGCCAAGTAGTCTTAGGCCATAGTTACTATGTAGTGCCTTGCACTGGGGCTAAATTCGATCCTACGTAGAAGCTTTACTTACAATAACTTTGCGTACAACAATTTTATGACACAGTGAGAAGGAAAATGCACTCTCCCAAACTCGTACCTGAATGGGCTCACCTCAGCAGTGTATTTGAATTAAGTGGGTTTATTCCTAAAGCAGAAATTACGTGCACTTTTTTGATCAAAGCCAGGGAGACCCACTTTCAAACACTCCTGTATACTGGCAGGGCTACAAGCTTAACCTCTGTTTGTGCCTCTCCCTAGAGGTGCTGGCAGTCTCCCCTGCCCAGGAGTTCAGGGCTGGAACTGGAGGAGGGCTGCTTAGCTCTGGACTCTGGTGCATTAACAAAAGTATGCAGAACTGCGAGGGGAGGTTTGTGCAGAGTCTATTCACCCTGCCTGCCCAACCAGTAAACCTTTCTTTTCGTAAGCATTAAGCCCACTCACAAATTTAAGAAATACTCACATCAAAGACAATAGACATATGGAGAAGGTTAAGTGGGCTAGGCAAACTGGAGCCATTGTTGGCTCCAAAACACATTTGGAAGAGCCAAAAGCAGGGGGGAGGAAAGAAAAACCCAATAAATTGGCTTCACAAAAGGAAGAATGTAAATTCTGCTGTCAACTTTCCTTGTGTATGGTTATTTCTTGTATTTCCTATTACTGTGTCAGGCTCGGGATGCTTATGTTAGATACTTCTGGTTTTGTGTTCTCAGTTGTCCAGCAACAGGGTTGAGAATTGGTTTTCAGAATCGGTGAAGCTGGGGCAGACAACTTCATGCCAGTTGTGTTTGTGTGATTTTCATTCCTTGATAATTTAGAGGTGTTAAAAGTTATCTTGGTGTAACTGTTGTGTTTATGGATCCACCCAAGTTGTCATTATGACTTAAAATGTTTAATTAGCGATGCTTATCCAGCTTTATGGGAATGAAAAGAAAAATCCAGAAAATACAGATTTCTGAATACAAAGTCAAATTTAAGAGTTATTTGCTGCTTCTATCACCTGATACTTAAAAGACATGGACATCACTGAGAAATTAACTCATTCTCTACTCCTGTGATTTAAATACTATACACAAGTGGGGAAATACTGCTTCCTAAAACTGCCTTAGTCTTTAGATTATCTTAATCGGAGCAGAGAATTGGTTCTGTTTCAACTGTCTGAGAGACCATGGATCTGATTTGGATGAAGTATTATGAACCACTAATTCTGGTTGGGTTTGCCTGGGGCAATGAGTGTTTGATTCATTATTGTTATCATTGGGGTTTGTTTCTTAATGATTTCATGTTGGGATGGTGTCCAGATACATCAGTGGGCATAATTTCAACATCACTTGTGTATGAACTATTACATTTCTACCCTAATTTCGGGCAGCTCTTCCTAGCAGTAACTGAAAGCAATCACCTAAAATCATCTTGCCCGTAATTCTGTTCCTAGGAGTCACACTGTATTCTTAGTACCAGTAGACAGAGATGGGAGTATTCTTAGTACCAGTAGACAGAGATGGGAAAACTAATGAGAACTGTTTGCTGTGGAGGCTGCAGATATTTGAACAGAGAGGCAAAACTAGAGGCAGAAACCTGGAGCAAACCTCACTGAGGTAGCTGTGTACAAACAAACCGCCCGAGCACTCGAAAGTGGGAGAAGCAGCAAGCAGGGTCTGCATTTAAAGATGCCTGTGCCATGTAATAGTGATTGGAATGGGTCTAAGTCCCTTTTAGGAGATGTGGCATGGGTTTACAGCTTAAAAACCAAACCAAACCCCAAAATCACAAACCTGTGGGACAGCTGTCCCTAAGAGGAGTGCCCCTTCCTATGTGTGTGACTGTTTTGGGTTGATTTGGGTGTTTTTGTTCTTTCCCAATGACAGCCAATTCCAGTGTTCCTCACTGTGCACAACGCAGCAGAAGTTATAACCTGTGGGTTCCAGAAGTTCGTGCAGAAAGAGGTAATTGATCTATTAAGTGATATATTCAAGGTACCTCCTGTGATATAATTGCCTTGTAACAAGACACCTAATTTCTTTTAATACGGGCATTAGTGCCATGTGCTTCTCTAGTCTCGCTGTGATAGCTTGTCATTAATGAGACCCAGAGAGAGCTTTGCTGTTGACAAGTATCTCTACTGGTGTTTTCTTTTCCCCTTTAGTTGATGAAACACTGCAAATACGTATCAACAGTTTGATCTGCATTTTTAAGACTGGCTTGGTCCTGCTTGTTTTTTCCTTTTGAAAATTAATATTGCCTCTCTCTCATGCCCCACATAAGAATCTCATTGTCTGAGCTGGGAGGGAGGAGGACTGGGTCCTTAGATGTAACCAGTATAATATATCTAGTATTTGATCTATTGTATGATTATAGATAGATCACATCTCCACATGAAATGCAGGAAAAGAAGTGTATTTTTGGATTTGTTTTGAATGCTTGAGAACCTGTCCCGAGACCTATTAAAGTCAGGAGAGTAATTCCTGCTCCCTTTAGTAAGAGCTGGGTTTGTTTCTCACAAATTGCATTGGGGAGCCTTCTTTTTAGGCTATGAAATGCTTTTCTAGTTGACTAGAGAGCTGCTGTTTGAGGTAACGCTGGGAAATCATTCATCACAAAGTCATTTCTACAGTGGCCCCTGGCTTGCTGTGGAAGGTATCTTCCATTCATTACCTCTGTTGTGTATACAGAAGACAAATAAATGGCCCGTGTTTGCTACTCCTAACAAACTGAAGAGGTCACTAAGGTTGCGCCGAAGGGACATAGCAGTGTGTACCATGGCATGTCCCTGTGGCATTGTCCTCTGATTAGTGTCCCTGTCAAAGTGTTTCATATTTTCCTTCTAGCTCACATGTTTATGTCTCCTCTCTTGGAAAACAAAAGCACTATGGACAAGGATAATGCAAAGACAGGTCTTGCTGGGAAGGTTCTGGAGAACAGTTTTGGACCGAAGGATTAGGAAACTCTCAGGAGTTTAGACAAAGACTGATTTGGCTGGGATAGTACCTAATTAATTGAGAATACTCAATATTTGAGTACATACAATACATAGTTTTGGTATAGTTCAAGTTAAATCTGAGGACCAGGTATAAAGTTCGTGTCTGGTTTTAGGTTTACCTGCTGGTAAGTAATCTGAAAATATAAATCAAGTTGGAGTAGGCTAATCTGCAGTCCTGGTTCTTTTTTTCAAATTAAATTTGCTAAGCAGTGCTCAAACATAATGGGCTGTTGAGTGTTGCTCACTGGATTTTTAATGTGTTTGGTGCAGTAAGATCGGCTGTCATCACTTTCCTGTTTTTGGAAGGAGAAAGCACTATTTCACCATTTTTATTTTTAAATTTTAATTTTTGTAATCATACTTTCTTTTTTACAGCAGACCTCTCATCTGAAAGTCTGTAGGTAAGCTTTTAAAACTGCTCAGATTCAGATTCAGACTTGTTTTGGCTCCAGCTTCTGTATTTGCTTCAGATAATGGCACACCAAAACAATGAAGAATGTAAGGCACATTCCCGTGGGCGGTGAGCCTCAATTGCAACATAGGAGTAATTAGATATTTTTAAAATGTATTTTCTTTTTTCTTTTTTTGACAATTGCTTAAATAGATACATTTTTTCCTCCTTACAAAAATAAAAAAGCCAGAAGGCCAGTCTTCCTGAATAACAAAGCAGTGCTTGTAAGTATGTTTTTGGACAGGAGATAGAAATCAGGTTTGAAGTTCCAGTGGGTAATCTTAAACAGTAAGAGAAAGATAATTAATGTGATAGAAAATAGTTAAAAATGCCTTTCCTAAGAAAGAAAAGGTGAGTGATAACCAGTTCTGCTAGAATCACTCATATTAAGCTACACAACCTACTAAGCCTCGTTGGCCCTAGTTTAGGCTTCAAAAAGGAGATAGAAAGGGACAAACAGAAGTCAGCCAGTCATGTATTAAAAGTTTCACTCTTTTCCCCCCCATCCCCTTGAAGAACACATACTTGCTGTCCTCCACATTCTGTAGTCTTTGGGCTGTACTTAGAGTAGATAACGTTGGGTTATTATTTAGTGTACTTGGAGGCACCATCTTCTGTTGTTTCCATTACCTGACTTACTGCGGCCTTGTTTTCACCACTGGATTATTGTCAAGGATACCAGTTTTTTTATCATCTTTATTCTGTCTTTTCCTATACCCCTAGAGAGCAGGAAAATAAGCTGCAAAAGCAAATGTTTGTTATTATTAATAGTGACAGTCCACAGAAATTCCACATCAGTGTATTCAGTGTAGCCGGTAGAAACACTGGCTCAGCCACAGGTTAAGAATTTATTTAGTCCAAGTCAGTGGACTAGGGGAGGACTTGTGCTGTCCTTAAGCCATTTCTAGCGTAATACCACTCACTCCCACTTTGCTCTGTGTTCTGGAGTTACACCATAACTTTTAATGGAGTCACCTCTGCTGGAATTGTTGTAAAAGGCAATTCACTTCAATGAAATAACTTTTTGGTAGCTATTCACAGCCAGAAATTGGTTGATTTTGGCTTTCTGAAGCAGCCTAGGGAAGCCAGATGGCAAGTGAAGAAAATTATTCGCTACCAAAAAACTTGTTTTCATCACTGCGAAGATGTTTTGTGCTGCATCTCTTCTCATACAACTTTGCTGTGTATGAGCTATGGAGAATGCATGATGTAAGACTTAATTTTGGTGGCAGAAATTACTTTTTAAATATGGAATAAAAATTAAATGAAATGTCAGTGTAAAATTGAATGGAATTGCCTATACTTTGCTGAGAGGACATACCCAGGTTACGAGCTTTTGGTCTTGTTTGTTTTTTTCCTCTTTTCTACAGTGTGCTGTTCCTCCTGGTAGCAGCAGTGTGCCTTCCTTTCTGTGACACACAGGTGAGCTCTGCTTTGTAAAGCAGCTCTAGTTAGACCTTGATGTTTGACATCTTGTTAGCATATGAGGGTTGCAGCTTTTACTTGTAAGCTAGGGTGGGATTCCTGTGAAGGAATTGTAAATGTTGCCTATTGCTGTGTTGTAGTCTTGCTGATTTTAATGTGTTTGCATCATGGTAAAGCCTCTGAGCAGCGCAGACATGCAGCTCTGTGGTGAAGCTGGGGAAACCATAGTTTAACTTCATATAGGGCTTAGAGCAAATCACTCAGGTTTGAATTAATTGCATGTACTTTCAGGAGGTTCCTAAATTAGCTTTGTAATCACTCTACACGCTTTCTGTAGCTACTGGAGAAAGAAAGTGCCTCCAGAGAGTAGCTCAGTCCAGCAAAGATCTATTCCTTGGAGGCGCTTTTCTCTTTTGGAGACTTAGGAAGGCTGCTTCCTTATTTTAGATACTTTAGTTAATGTCTGAAGCCAGGTAGGATGAATCTAGGAACTTGTCTGGATGGACCTGATCGAATGTAACCATCAGAAGTGTTGCACCTGTGCTAGCTCCCATCATAGTCCATGGTGCAGAGCAGGAAATTCTGGCGTATAATTCATCTCCCCTGAAAGCAGACATCTAAAATGTGCCAGGTGAATTCCTCTCAAAAATGTTTATTTTTCCCCGTTGATCGTGAAGAGAGCCTACCTTGCTCAGAAGCAGATGTCTGTTTAAAGCACTCTTTTGAATACTCTGTGGTTAGTGAGAGGCTTGGGGAGAGAGACTGCTTAGCTGCTGCAGGGGCTGAGAGGGGAAAGGAGACAAGACAAAAACCTTAGTGATGTTCCTCTGATCCTCTTGCCCCTCCCTGACTGCCAATACAAGACTAAACAGACTGGGGCCCATATTCTCAGATGGTTTAAAATGATGTACATATCTGAAAGAAATAGAGCTATCCTTGCCAAGACTCCCGAGAGCCTGCGTAACTGGCATATGCCAGGTCTCTAAGCGGGACAGGAAAAGCTTTAGTCTTCCTAGTCTTCTCTTTCCTCGTAGCATAGCTCCCACTCTCTGTACTTGCTTTATGAAGCTCACTGCAGGGAACTAGCGATATGTATGTTTACGTGAACGTGCATTTATTTATGCAGATGTTCTTTATTGCAGTTTGATCCAAACGGTTATTTATGGGCTCTAATTCACTTGATCTGTGTTGGTAAGTCATTTTCTTTTGGAAAAAGAATTAAGAAAAGTAAATGTGTTGGAGAAGCAAATCAGCTTTATTATGAAGTTACTGATATTTAAGGCTCTTGATGTAAGAAACACTTGGAAAGAACGAAGAAGCTCAGTAAAGATAAGAAAATGCATTCCTTTTACACCTTTTACGTTGAAAACAACAACAGAATAAACTAGATATTGCAGTCAGTTAACAGTGGATGAGAAAACGTACGTACGATTTTAATCAGCACTAAGCTTTTCTGGGAGTTTTTGATGGTTGCCTACTAAGAGACACTTCTTCCTGAGGGGAGAAGAAACATGAAAAAACCCAAGCAGTAACTTGTAGTTGGAGCTTTATTGCACACACTGATTTTATTTAAAAACTGACAAAAATATTCTAAAATATCATGGAATATGCTCCCAGAGGAAGGGTGTTGAAATGTTGGGGGGTTTTATGCAATCATACACATTTTAAAAAAAATTTAACAATGAGTTGCATAACCTGTCAGGTTTTCTTTTGTCTTTTTCAGACTAAACATTGATTCTGATAAACAATTCTTCCCTGAAAAGCTAGAAACAGTCAGACCCAGAAAATCTGAAGAAAACAAGAGTAGTAATTTTTAACTAGGAGATTTGTATCTTTTGGAGCTTTAGGCTGGATAATAAGGGTCTTGTATTTGGTTCTTAGCTGTCCTATAGACTTAGCGAGTGACTCATTATAGAATCATAGAATCATAGAATCATTAAGAGACCAACAAACCCACAAAGTCATCGAGTCCAACTGTCAACCCAACACCACCATGCCTAATAAACCATGTCCCTAAGCGCCTCATCTACCCGTCTTTTAAATACTTCCAGGGATGGTGACTCAAAGTATTCGAGGTGCGGCCTCACCAGTGCCGAATACAGGGGCACCATCACTTCCCTACTCCTGCTGGCCACACTATTTCTGATACAGGCCAGGATGCCATTGGCCTGTTAATACGTTCATTAACGTATGAATTAACTTAATTCATACGTTAAGTCTTGTCTGCACATTAGGGATGATTCCTTCTTTATTTTGTCTATTCATACTGTAAAATTTTCAGGGCAGAGGTTATGTGTTTATATGTATTTGTGTCTAGGGAGGTCTAGAGATCCCACTGGAAAATGTTGTTAACATACAAATAAGAAATAATATAATTTTTTTTTCCTTTAGGAAATGTTATATGGTAAACATTTGCTCATTTAGATAAAACAAAAAGCTAAGGATTTTCACTTCAAATACTTGTTTGCTGTAACGAGTGATGTTACTGCTTTCTCAAAGCCGAGAGTTCTCATTTGTAAAGCACTGCTAGGCCACAGAGGTGGAAAGCTGCTTAGAGAGTCTTCAGGAGACCTCTTCTTTGTGCTTGAAATGTGTAGGAAGTGCCAACGTGATGTTTATGCTCAAGATATAGCTTCTTTCCATTTCTCTTGGTTTTGAGAGAAAGTTGTTGATATGACTGTTGGGGGTTTTTTGTGTAATTAGATTTCCTATCAACTAACATGGAATAAAGATGCTACAAGAAAGGGCAGACAGATGAACTAATTTATCACACAGTTAATCAAGACAGAGCATTAGAGAAAGGATATGTGTTCTACCCTTCAGCTTGGTTAATGGAGGCAGAATTGAGGACACCTATTACATAGTGTTCTACTGGATTTGCTTTTCTGGTTTTCTTTGTGAATAAAAAAAACCAGCCCACAAAGCCTTGAAGAACGGGTCTGAAAAAATAGAGCTTGAAGCTGTATTGTTCCTTCCTTGAGCGCTTAAAGCTTTTTCCAGAATAGAAATGGGAGCTAACCAAGAGGTAGGTAGGTCAAGAATGTAAAGAAGCTGGAGACCCTAGAGCTGAGAGAACTCTAAACAGGAAAGATGGCTCAGAGCCAACAGCTGTAGGGGTCTGCATAGATGAACACATCATAGAAGTTACCCCAAAAATGGGGTGGGCTGAAGAACGCATTCTATGACACTTTTCTGTATGTATTTACACACACATGTACACACACACACTCCTTTGTAGTAACCATGAGGTAGGCGTTGTCTCTTCTTCAGAAGGACTAGCGGAAACACATAGCATGACCGTACTCTGAGCTGATAACGCTTTGAAAACCATTAATTTGAAGTGATAGGTTCATTTTATTCATGGTTTAGGCATCCTTTGTGCCGTGTTGCTAAACTGTAATTCAGAGGGGTTCCATGTCTGCCGGTACCACGGCCAAAGAAGCTGTTGTTTGTCAGACTGATTGCATGTTATAGCAATTACACATGTCATTTCAATTACAGGGGCTTACAAAGTCTTTCACAAGTTATGGAAACCTAGCTCTTTAAGGTAATGTGTTTTCATATTCTTTTAAAAAGAAAGAGATTGCTATCAAAGAGGGTTAGACTGTGTAGCAGTCAGGCAAACTGTAGGGATCTCTGCGTTATCAGTGTGAGCTGGGCCACTCTTGGTTAATCATTAATGACTTCTCTTGCAAGAGGAGTCTTAGTTATTGTTGTTAACAATAGCATGTGGTTATTGATAGTTATACTGCTAACTTGAACACTGAATTAGTTTTGAACAGTGTATTATCAAAGGATGATGACTCAGTCCTGGAAAAAGAACCCCTAATATTGACACAGGCATTAAGAGGAAGTGTTAGTTTGTGTTAGCCTTGAAAGCTGCACGGTTTGAATCTGTCAGCATCTCCCTTTGTGACACAGTCTCGAAAGCGTTTAGCAGCTGGTGACTTGCCACAGGACTGGAATGGCTGAGTACCTTAAAAACCTTGAAACCTTGCACTAATCCCATGTGCATGTTAGAACATCAGCCAGACAATAGTTGTTTTGAAAGCAGGTGGCATTACATGTTCAATGTAATACAGTGTCTGTGATCTGCAGCTGTCTGTGTGGAGGGGGATGGATATGTTGCCACTGCATATTATGTATATGTACATAATACATGTGTGTGTAGGATACGGATAAGCTCATTTATTTCAAAACCATTTTCCGTCTCTGTTTAAAGAGTCTAAATTTTAGTCAGTCTCACTTTATCTTCACTTTAAGTGAGACTCCCACTGACATAGTAACAACAGAATTAATGTGCAAATGATGTGTAAATTAATATGCTGATTATGTATTGACAATATTATAATAATGATAGATTATGGTTATAATGTATATAATTATAATGTTAGCATTACCTAATTATAACATTGTGTCATATATAATATTAATATTATGTAACATTATAGTGTTATAATACTACTTAATATACTGATCTCTTATACCAAATGAACTGCATTACTAAAAGAACACCTTTTTTTCTTTCCCTCCTCTCCCAGTGATCTGGACCAACAGTACATCAACTATGTATTCAGGTAAAATGAATAAGCCTTTGATACACCACAGCTGGTTTTATGTGGTATATGTTTTCATTTTCAACCATGGCTTGTTTAGGAAACTCATAGCTACCACTACTTAAATGTATTTATTTAACAGGACATTCACTGAAAGAACAGTGCTAAGCTGAACGACTTAGCAGCTGAATTTTTTTGGCTCTGGTTATAGGTGGACATGCCAATATACACCTGGGGAGGTAACGAGGTGTTAATTATGAATTTTTTAATCACCATGTGCACAACTGATCTATCATTTCCAGAAATAATATTTACAGAGTAACTCCCTGGCAATACCCCACTTCAGAAAATAAAACTTGTACAAAATTGCCAGAAGGGGATGTAGTGATTACAAAAGCATGATGTGCAAAGAACATGAGCAGTAACTGATTGTTCAGAGTGCCGTTAGTGGGATTGAGTAATTCAGACTTTCTTGTTTTTCTGATTTGGAGATATAAAAGTGGCTTGTTATTTTGTAGTTAGTGAAAGAGCCTGAGTCACTGACCAGACTCCCCTGCATTTTTTTGTTTAAAAAAAAAAAAAAGGTCAGTCCTTTCCTCAAAGAGCCATATAAGCCAGAACATTCGGTGTGCGTGGCTCTCATTAGATTTTTGTGAGGCTTGATTTGAGTAAGGCATATAGAGACTTCACTAGATTCTCCTCCATCCATAATCACATCTTGTATATGTTGACCTCTTTTCTTGGAACGGTAGCTAAAGTTGTATGGGAACACTATGGAGTACGGACACTAAGTTCTAAGAAAGGATGGTCAAAAGGAATGAAAGAGAGAGCAGGAGTTAGGAATAAGCATAACAAAAGTGAAGTTGTGCTTGTCCATTTGATTAGGTGGATGTGTGCTCTTCTCTGACTACATTAAAGATCCTTGATAGGAACACATCAGGGACACCAGTGGAGGACAGTTACTTCACTTCAATTCCCATTTATCTTGTGAGCATCAACAACATGATAATACTGTGTGTCTCTTTCTATCTTAGTTCAATCAAATCTATTTCCATAGATAAGTAATGCAGGCCTTTGATTTTGTGTTTGTGTGATTCCAGTGTCTATTCACCAGGGTCCCATGTGTGGACAATATCTGAATATCAGTTTGTTTGAAGTAGGCTCTTGTTTAAGTCAGTTGTTGTTTTCCATCTACTATGAAGTGCAAAGCAAATCAGTTTTACTCAAAGAAGGTAGTTGTGTTTATTGAAAGTGTTTTGAAGAATTAGTCATGGAACTTGTAAATATGCTTCTGTGTGCAGAAATAACTCATCAAGTCTTGAATGAGCTGTAGCTATTTGTCTGTGTTGAAGGGAGAATCATGAAACAAGCAGTAAAATAAATTGATTTTTCATTTGGCACCTGCCTGACTATGGCTCTCAGTTGTCATTTTAGTTGAAAACTGCATCTGGGCCAGAACCTTTAAATTCAGATTTTGGCTGAAGGTCTTAATTTTGCACCTTTGATTGAAAAGTCAGGGCTGGGTTCCTGCTGTGTTAGTTGATGGTATCCTTTGAAGTCTGTGAAGTTGTCTCCACCAGAGAGCAGGAGTTCCACATTACATGGAAAGTATGATTATTGATTTAGAGGCTTTTGAAAGGGAGAAACTTCTCGCTAAGGAACTGTGGGGTGCAGTGGTATGTATTTTAAAAATGTTATTTTTAAAAACAAAAAAAAACAACAATGGAATTGTGCAAATTGGAAGATGGCTTTTTTTAGCATCTGCTTAAAAGTAAAAATGGGTTATCAAGGCTTGCAAATATTTTCACCATTAAGGGGCTTAAAGGTCAGTGTAGCTTGCAAGATGATTCTGCAGAGCAATTGCTGGAAAACAAGTGGCTTAGAGGAGGTAGAAGACTGGATGCTTATTTGTTTGGCTTGGGTCTGGATATCTATATGTCTATGTATCTATATATGTATGTATATATATATTTCTGTGTGTTAGAGAAGCTTGCAATCCATAGCATTTGGACCTCATCTTGTCTAGGGAAAACAAACAGTACCATGGGCAATGGGATAAGTAACACCTGATTTCTTTTAGAGTTTTGTTTTGTTATAATAACAGATGCTGTTAGAAGGGGTGTGAAATTTGGCAGAAGCTCCCTCCTTGTTTGTGACCTCCATGGCGTGCCACTGCCGAGAAGGTCCTCCAGCATCTGACGGGGCTGGAATCTTTCTGCTACAGAAGGCACTGGCAGGGTTTGTCTCTTTGTGAGACCTCTGCACATGTAGTTATCTTGGAGATGACTGCCACTTCCCAAATTTGGATGAAGCTGGTCAGCGTGTTTGAGAGCTATGTAGAGCTATGTATGTGTGTGTACACACAGCTTTATTGCACAAGCTTAATTTCTGTAGAAAACAGTCAAAAGTATTTTTAAATCACACTGAGTAGAGGGCATTTTACTGTGAACGCTCTCTGAATGAGCGCTAACTCCTCACGGGCAGTCCTGGGTCAGAATTACTGTAAACGTGTGCTTATCTCTGTCAGAGGGTGCCCAGCACTAAATTTTGTGATTTAGCAGGCGTTAAGGTATATGCTACTTCCTCTGCTGAGGGCTTCTCGAGGACTGTTTTGGCCATGACAGGATCCCAGTTCCACCTCCAGAGCAGGACAGTCTAGTATGTACTGGTGGTCTTGTCTGTACAAGCATCATTCTGTGATTTATGAAGGAACTTGCTAGTGTGGTATCAGTGCAACTTTTTCCTCTTAGCACTATTATCAATAGGCCTTTATAGCTCCTTATTTCTAATGTAGATCAGGCAGCTGACATGCGGCTGTGCGGGGAAAAGAAAGCAGCTGTGTGGGCACAGCTAGATAGTATTTAGAATCGTAGAATCTTTAGGTTGGAAAAGACCCTTAAGATTGAGTCCAACCATAAACCTAACCCTGCCAAGTCCACCACTCAACCATGTCCCTAAGCACCACATCTATACATCTTTTAAATACCTTCAGGGATGGTGACTTAACCACTTCCCTGGACAGCTTGTTGCTGTGCTTGATAACCCTTTTGGTGAAGAAATTTTTCCTAATATATAGGAAAATATATAGGTTTGTTATGATAGAGGCAGTTCAAAGCATTTCTGTTCGGTACGAAAGCACAGTTGTACTCTGAGTGTAGAGACTGCCTGGACAGAGCAGATTAAGAGTTCTGCTCCAAGCTACTGGATGTTAGAATGTACCAATATGTTAGATTAAAAAAATACTTATTTAGATTAAAAAGAAACGTTAACTGTATTGGCTCTGTTGGACACTTCCAGAGGTGCAACTGAAATTAAAAAAGTCTCCTAATATATGCTGTCCCCTACATGCCATGCACTGTTTCTTGTTTTAAAATGTGGAACAGTTTGGGAGGGGAGAACGTCTTAAGCAAACGTACATGAACGGGAACTTTCCAGAACCAAACAGATCTGAGGAAATATTTGCTGATGTTGAAAATGTGGCGTTCTTCTCACTTCATCACTTACAGCATGATTATTCAATGGCTTTTAAAAAAGGAGCCAGACCAGGAACAAGTGTAGGAGGGAAAGCAGAGCTGTGCTATGCAGGGAAGGGAGGGGTGATGTTGCTTTTCAGTGCCCAACCCCATCCTGTTCTTCCATCTCCCTTGTGTTTTAAGCATGTGGGGCAGGGAGGGGGAGGAAGAGAAGAGGGGAAATGTACTTCCAAGAACCTCCCTCTAATTCTACAGTCTTGTTCCCACCACTGTTTTTTTACTGCAGTATTGTATTTCCCTGCACTCTGACTTCTGCGTTAATGTTCTACTTCCTAGTCGTTTTTCCATCTTGCATTTTCTTTTATTCCTTTCCAGTCCCCCACTTTTTATCAAGGAGGGAGCCAGATTTCTGCCCCCCCAGTTAGCTGGCAAGGGGTAGCGTGAGGGGGGCGGGTAGTAATGTCAACCTGGCGTGTTGAAGGATACATAATGTGTCTTAGAAGTGGGTCACGGCTCATTTTGGGCTTTCTCCTATGCTGAGGCAAGTAGAGATACGTTACTTCTTGCGGAGAACCTGGAAGAAAATTTCAGTACATCCTAATATCTGTCACCGGCTGATAATTGTTCACAAAGGCATGCCAGACAGCCTAGCAGTCACTGGTGAGGAGAGAACAAAGACTTATAGCAGTAGAGTTTCAAACGGTGAATAAATGGCACTGACAAAGTGCCAGTAGAGCCTGGTAAAGGCTCTACTCTATGCAGCTAAACTACATCTGGCTTCTGGAAGAGCTGCTAATCTGTCACTTTTGTGAATTAGAAAAGCTGCAGTAGATTTTCTGCAATAGGGAAGGGCAGCTTTGCATGCATAAATTGCTGTTCTTGCTGACAAAACCTCTTTTTAGCCAGAAAGAAAATCACGGGTGACCCAGCCCTCAGTATTGAATACAGGGGAAAAAGAGAGGAGCAGAGAAATCCAGCACAGGGATTTTGTTTTTGCTGCAGCCTGATGTCCAGGCTGTCCTGCTGGAAACCTCTGAATCCCTAATCTGGTTTTACAACATCATGGTGTCTTTTCTACTGATGTTCTCTTCAGAGCAGAGTTACAGTACAGCTTTAATGCCATCTAACCCATTTGCCTTAACCTGCTCCACACTTCACAAAGAAGGTTTTGTTTTTCTCCTATGTTTTCTTTGGATTGAGGCCTGGGATGTCTGGTAGGGTTATCAATTCGTCTTGGTTGCAGAAGGAAGTTTCTCTCTGAGCATTTCCCAATCTCACTGGTTTTTTGTTTAAAAATTAATAATGCAAAAAGCAAAAGTGGAGAAACATGGCTTAGTCATAATTCTCATCACTGTTGATACAGTTTCACTTGCCCTGCCAGTCTCCTGTTTTCTCTGTTATTCAGTCAAAAGCAATAGGCCTTTGCTTCCTTTTCTCTCCTTACCAGGAAACTGAGGAATTGGGCCTGTTTATTGTGAATTCCTCTTGGTGTCCCATGCGGGGAGAGCGCGCGTGTGTGGGGAGGAGGGGCAGGGGGGAATTACCTACCGTAAGTGATCTGCTTTGCCTTGTTTAATATCTTTGTGACAACCACATGTATAAATGTTGACAAAGTGAACATACTGTACCAGCTGATGCCTTTCAAAGACATTGTATAAAACGTTAAGCCTAAAATACCCGCCTGCCTGTCACTCATGAACTGTTTCCTCCTTCAGCCCATTGTCTTCCACAGCTGATTTCAGTGACAAACTTCCCCCTGAGGCTTCCTTGGCCAGGGGATTTCCGTGCTCTTTGCAGTTCCTTTTGCTACCGGTGTCTCTGCGGATGACGCTGGGATTCACCAAAGCATGCCGAGGGCAGGCCACCAAGTGCGGTAGCCTGGTCACGTAGAGAACTGGGACCAGCTGAGAGCGAGCAGGCTTGGAAACGGTGGCTGTGTTAGCACTGGAAAAGGGAGTTGGCCCGGTGTAAGGAGGACGCTGATGATACTGTACTGCTGCAGGTACTGGAGGTAGCTCATTTACAGCGAATTCAGTTTTCTAGTCATAACCTTGTGTGTTGGGAACCACTTCCAGCACTTTCTCTGCCTTAACCTTTCACTGTGCAGGCTTCCGTTCCTCCGCTGGCTGCGTTGGCACTTTACTGCCATTACCGGCCCTAGTGAACTGTAAGAATCACTGGTAATTAGCCAGGGAAAATGGCCTACCTTTAGCATTCATTACATTAATGAATGTCTTTTTACCTTTGTGAGTGCAGTGCTTGCTGCTTATCAAGAAGCAACCTGTCCAGATACTCTTTTCTCCTCTTGTCCTTTGTGTTTGTCACAGATGTATGTTGTCGGTAATTAGAGGAAGCTGTAGCTCTGCTTTGGAGACATGCATGCTTCTCCCATCTTACAGTGCCCCAGAATATGTTTCTGTAGCCTTCTAACCTTGGAAACAACATGGAATGAAAAAATTTGGAAAAAAAATCAGAAATTTACTGGAAGAATCAGTAGCACTGAAAAAGGCTCTGTACAGCCTATACCGCAAACTCAGAGGATGAAGTCTTTGTAGGACCTCAGAAATCTTAAGTGATACTCCAGGTAAAGAACTGGTCACAGCTGATTTTCTTGTTCACTTGTATCTTTCTGAAAAGCGTGCATCATTTGGGCTGGTACTTGGTTTTATTTTCATGCAGTTTTGTTAAACTTGTTTAATTGCAGCATTTGTCCTTTCTCTAACTGACATTTTGGGTATGAATGTGCAGTGCATGCACAATCACATGCATAAGACTCTACATTTGACTGTTATATGCAATATATGCACATCCCTATAAAGCGGACATCGGTACGCACACAGCTGAAATTAATCCTCGGACGGAGAGACACTCATGTGTAGACACAAGTACAGTTCTCTATAGATTCTGTCTCAGTGGTGTCACCAGCTGGCGGAACAGCAGGTCTGTTGAAAAGGACTTGGGGGTAACAGTGAACGCTGAGATCTATATGAGGCAGTAGTGCATGCTCACGGCAAATTAAGGCAAACCATGTATTGGGCTGCATTAGAAGGAGCATGGCTGTCAGATCGAGAGAAGTTAGTATGAGCATTGCTGAGGCTGCAGCTGGAACACTCAGTTTTGGGCCTCCCAGTTCAAGAAAGATACTGAGAAGTTGAAGATCTAGCAGAGAGCTACTGACATTGTTAGGGACTTAGAGCACATGGCCTCCTGCAAGGAGAGTTTGAAGGAGCTAGTCTTGTTGAGACTGGCAAAGAGGAGACCAAGGTGCAACCTAACAACTGCCTACACCTTCTTGAAAGGGAGTTGCAAAGATGACAGAGCCAAACTCTTCTAAGGAGTGGCAGATGGTATAACATGGAGCAACAACCATAAATTGCAGCTTTGGTGGTTTAAAGATGGGATATCAGGAAAAACTTCTTCACTAGGAGGGTAGGGTGGCCCTGGGACAAGTTACCCAGAGAGGTGTGGAATCTCCATGCTGGGAGGTTTTTGAGACCTGGCTTTTTGAGACAGAGCCACAGAGGACATGATCAAATATTGGTGATAGTCCTGCTTCAGGTGAGAGGTTTTATTAGGTGACCCTGGAGATTCCTTCCCAACCAACTTTTTTTTTTTTTTAAATTGATACTTATGCCTCAGTTATTCTACTTAACTGCAGTAAGTTTCACCATGAAAAAACAAACACAAAGCTGTCAATTTGTAAAGTTCAGGCCATGTCATAAATTCTGTAGTATACAATTAATCTTTTTTTATTTTTTAGTGTGGTGCTGTTGGCCTCTGCATCCCATCCAGCAGGTAAAGTGAATTGAGTTGTGCCTTTTTTAGGTTTCCATATTGCCTTTCCTTTCCGTGCATGTTTTTAGAGGCCAAACCCTGTAGGATTTCAGCCCTGGAATTCAACAGGAATGCAACCAATAATATGATATCCTGTAGGAAGAGGAGAGGAGGGTATATAACACTGTGTAATTTGCATGATATTTATGAATACCTTTCTTAGCTGCCTTTTGCAAAGAAGCAGCATGGGACAGGCAACAAAGAACAGCTTTTGAGGTGGTGCATGGTAAAGAACAAGGATTCCCTAGGTGAATATGTCCTCTTCAGAGCAGTGTCCCAGCAGTCCATATAGAACCAAGTTTCCTTCTCTGCATTGCCCTCAGTGCTATGCAGCGATTTTGTTTTGTTGCTTTCATAAGATGTATCCCATCGCTTGAGCCCATGGCAGGATTTGAAGTAGCAAAAGATCAAAGGCTAAAAATGGAGAAATTAAATCTTTGATGGTGGCTAATATTCCTATCATACTGGTGTTTAAATGGTTAGAAGGATAAAGATGATTGTCACTTTCACTAGACATTTGCTCATTCAGAAAAACAAAGGAAGAAGCATTTAAATAAACATAAATTCCTCCTTTTGCCTGGTGGTGCATATTGTGTATATAGCATTCCCCCACCAGGGTAGACAGACATGTTAAGCAAAATAGTCCTGCATTTCAAAAAGTGAAAGATGGAGCTTCCTCCGAATCTGTAGAGCCTGAAGGCCGGAGAACTCCTGGGGATTGTTGCTACCAAGAACAATCAGGGCCCAGGTTCCTGGAAATGGAAGTACTCGAGAACTCTGCTTGGATCTGGGAGAACTTTTTTAAACCTCTCAACTTGCTCTGTGTGACAGAGTTCAAATGCCAGAGGGGGAAGCAGCCAACATATGTATGTGTTTCCTGTTGCTTTAGGAGGAACTATCACGAGCTCTGTAATAAAAGAAGTGGATATGATGCATGTCTATCCACTGGCAACTGTTGCTTAAGCAGGATCTTCTATATACTAGCAAAGAATACTCTTACGTATCCCTTTCCCCTTTTTCAACCAAAGGCAGGAACTGGCTAGAAGCAAGGTCAGAGAGAAATCATTAAACACACTAGAAATGTGGAAAGCATCATGAATGAAAAGTCAGCCAGCTGTAAAGGCTCAAAGGAATGTTAAACTAGTAATGTTCATATAATTGCTGTTCCCCTGCTTGTAACAGTGGGTAATTTTTTTCCCCCTGTGTTCCACTGAGTATATTGCTTTGTCCCTCAGGTGATCTCTTCAGTGCCTTGGACTTTCCATTCCTGTACTTCTACAGGTTTCACAGCAGCTGCTGCGCCAGGTAACCTCTCTGTAAGAGGACATGTGAATGTTTTCTAAATAAGAGATCCTGTTGACTTCCAACCTCAGTTAAAAATTTTGGAGCGTGCAAAACCTTAGTTATACTAGTTTCTGCTGGCATAAGCCAGTAAAACTGCAGAGAGTATGTATCTGTGCATATCTGTGGATATGCATTTGAAGGCCTGAGATTCAAATGCGCTGGAAGTATATGTGTTTATTTGAGTGCGTGCATTCTGATCAGGACAGTTCTCAGTCACCAGTAAAATAATTTTTACCTAATGTAGCAAAGCTTTGATAAATAGCATCTCTCAAATGCTTCTCAAGTCGGATTAGCCCTTGTAAAACTTGCTGTTTGCAGTGATTACAAAGTATTAGTCTTCAGCAGTATATGGGTGTACATGGATTTATTTGCCTGTACATCTTGTTATTTGGCAGAATGCTTTTTTTCGGTAAAAGGGAAAAGCTTTAACAAGCGTTCCTTTGTTTTGAGTAGCAAAAGTTCACTGCCCAATAGTGTAATTCTCACAGGACAATGTAAGTATGTTTTCTATAGGTCTTAATGATCTCAAAAAACTTTATTCCTGTCTTTCCCCTCCAATCTTTTGCCAAATGGAAGTATTTTCTTTTTAGAGGGGAAAAAATATTTTCTTGCTAACTGATGGCAAAAATATTTCCTGATTGTTAGGGATTTTCTTAATTGTATCTGGATTTTCCATTAAAAGGGGATATTAAAAATGATTGTTAAGTAATTTCCCTATGTACATAGTTTTTTGGTACGAAAGTGGCTTTTTTCAAGGGTGGACTATCCACACTACAAGTAACTTGCAGTTAGGTATTAATGAATAAGTTGTTCCACGGTAGGTAGGTGAAATCTATTTCTTCTTGAAGGCAAGGTCTAACTGCAGGCACTAAAGGATATCTGTCTAGCCCAGATATTCTTCTCTTTCAATTCATTAGAATTTTACCACTGTTGTAGCCTCCATCTTCTGTTTCCATTGCCCCAGCTTCAGTGCATGTATAGTAGGTAGCACTGTACGCTACAGCAAGTGGAAAGGAATAGTTAGATGGAGAAGCAAGCATCTCAGTTGCTTTCCTGCATCTCATAATCTAGTGTCTTTGTAGACATAAAGGATTTGGAGGAAAACCTATACAATATAAAGTAAGGGTAACTGATGCAGCTGAATTACTACCTGTGCAGAATGTCTGAAGCGTTAGTAGTAAGCTGCAAAGTTCTCCATTTATTTAATGAAATAAATCGGTGTTAATTGTGACATCAATATTTCAGGTATTATAATTAGTTGTTTCACTTTATATCTGAATTACACTAAGCTTCAAATCACTCTGACTAAAAGCCCTTCTCAGCTGGGTAGAAGGTGTGGAACAAACTTAAGCCAGCTGCCAGACTTTCAAAAGTTTGGGCAATGCTGCTTCATTGAACTCACTGATTTCTCAGAGTGGAATGTTCTACTGTTCAGCACTTCATCCTCTGCAACAGGGAGCTGAGTTTGGGCCTATCTTTTATCATCAAAGCAGCATCTGCTTTCTTGGCTCCAGGCACAGTGGACAGTCCTTTGGGGTCTCGTGTTATGGCTCAGTGTAAGAAACCCTAGTACGTCCGACTCCTGGGCAGTTATCTTACCCTACTGTTTGGTGTATCAAAAACACCTGTACTGACATGTGGATGAGATGCCACTTTGCCACATGTACTGAGCAGGGAACAGCACTTGGCTGAGATGCTGGAGCCCAGCGTGGCACTTCTGACCTGGGGAGCCACCATCTTCCACCCTTCCTGCTGTTGCAGAGAGGGCACCAACTGCATTGCATGAGTATCCAGAACAGCATACCTTCTTCGAATACTAAGGCACTTTTTGCCTCACCACCTGTGTGCTGTGTTGATCCTATCTCCTTTCCCATGCAGCTTCCCACAGTACTTTGTAATCTCTTATGCCTCTCAACCAGCCACGCAGTAGTTTGTGCCTTACATATTTTGAAGTCCTTTTCCATTCCCTGCTTGCTGGTTTACACTATTTCACTGGTTCACAACCAGTGGGTTGTAATTATGTCACAAGTGAAACAAAACCCAGAGCCAAAGCTTATAAGCTCTGTGAGGTCCAGGGACATGTGGAACAGAGTTGCCTTAAGAGTAGTCTTGGCTACCGGAGCACTGGGGACTACTGTCCTATATGACTTGAGAATCAAAATTCACTTAATCATCAGTGGAGAGCTTTGGAGTATTCTGTTCCCAGCACTACTGAGTCATCTGTCTATTTGTTATACAGTAGACATGTATTTGACTTCCTAATTGGAATTTAGGCTTCATGAAGTTTAAACAGCTTGAAAGCTTCAGGCAGAAACTTTCCAGTGGTTATTTTTTCAGTTCAAGGCTCTGTGGAGGTTGAAGTGGGTTAGTTGCCAAACATGTGTGGCTCCTGTTGAAATTAGCATTGCCTTTATTCAGAGCCATTTCACTGCCTGAAGTTAATATTTCACCTCATGTTTCCAATAATCTCTACTTTTCTGATTATGCAAGTGCATTAGAGACCAGCCATAAGAGCGTCAGACTTACTTTACTCAGACTCTAGTCACTGACTGCAAAACCCGAGATGTACTTGGACATAATGTAAGCTCTTTGTCCACCAGCTTTCTTTCTCCAAATGGGATTAACACTGCTTGAAGGGTGACTGTTCAGTTCTGCATTAGGAAAAACAAGATGCCTGAAAGAGGTTGCTTAGTTGAAATTAAGAGACTTTATTAACAAGCTTTCCCCATCCCTTGCAGTGGACTGTTGGGATTCTTTCTGATGTTGCACACAGTGAAGCTAAAAAGCAGCACAACCTCAGGGCAATATGCAGCATGGAGTTTCCTTGCAAAGGTAAGACAAAGACTGTCACAGGAACACAATGGATCTGTGCTTCTCCCAGGAGAACTGAAGAATTTCTGCATCTCTCGTTTCCCTTGCTATTCCTATTTGACACTCCTGGGGCCTGTCTGTGCAACCTGCATGTAGAGTTGAGGCGACAAGTATCAGGTGCATAATAAGCCAGGATCGTTAGCTGAGATGAAATACTGTATATAGACTGAGTTTAACAGACCTGGGCTGATTATTGCAGCTATGGATTTGGCCTACTGAATCCCAGTAATACAAATCTATACTTTCCAAAGGTGTTTTGGAGAGAGAGAATACTCCTGAGAGTGTGTGCACCAGCTGTTGTTTCCAGTGTGTCTTCCCAGAGCCAAAAGTTAAAACTAGTTCCCTGAAGTTCAGTACCAGAACTCCCACTGCTGCCGTTGCAGGGGAGAGGGGTGGATGTCATTTGCCTTGACATTAACAAGGCTTTTGACAGTATCTCCCACAATGTTCTTGTGTCCAAATTAGACTGTTACAGTCTGGATGGGCAGACAATTAGATGGGTAAAAAAAATGGTTGGATGGTCAGACTCAGAAGGTAGACATTAATGATTCCTACTCTAACTGGAGGCTTGTGACAACTGGAGTAGCACAGGGGTCTGTCCTGGGACCCATCCTGTTTAACATCTTTATTGAAGAATCAGAGGTGATAGAGTGCACTCACATTTGCAAAGGACACTGAACTGGGAGGACCAGTCAATAACGCTGAAGGACAGGGTTGCCTTCCAGAGGGACCTGGGCAGGCTGGAGGAATGGGCCAACAGAAATCTTATAAAATTCAGCAAGGACAGATGTGAAGCCCTGCACATGGGAAGGAAGAGCCCGGGGCAATAATACAGGCTGGGGACTGGATGGCTGGGAAGCAGCTCTGCAGAAAAGGACCTGGGGATTTTGGTAGACAGCAAGCTGAATGTGAGCCAGCAGTGTGCCCTGGCAGCTAAGGCAGCCAAAAGTATCCTGGGTTGTACTAACTGTAGCACAGGCAGTAAATTCATGGAAGTGATCGTGCCCCTCTACTCGGCACTTGTTAGACCATATCTGGAATAGGGAGCCTTGTTTTAGGCACCTCAATACAAGGAAGACATTGATAAACTGGAGCGAGTTCGGCAGAGGGCTGCCAAGAAAGTCAGGGGGCTGGAGCACTTGCCTTGTCAGGAGCAGCTGCTGGACCAGGCTTGTTCAGCCTGGAAGAGAGACAGCTTTGGGAGCATCTAACAAACAGCAGCCGCCCAGTAGCTATGGAGAAATTATCAAGACAGATCCAGGCTCTTCACAGTGGTGCGTGGTGGGGGGCGGTGTGAAAGATAACAAGCTAAGTTGAAACAAGAGAGGTTCCGACTGGGTATAAGGAAAATCTTTTTCACACCGAGGACAAGTCGGGCAGGGGCACAGGTTGACCAGGGAGGCTGTGCAGTCTCTGTCTTTGAAGGTTTTCAAGACTCAACTGGACAAAGCCCTGAGCAACCTGGTCTGACCTCCTGAGGTCCATTCCTACTGGAATTACCCTACGATCTGTGGATCCAGGGTCTGGCTGAACTTGATTTAAGTTATTAACATTATAATGTTAATAACTAATGCTCATTTGTTAGATTATCAGTGGTAAATGCAGTCAGAAGGGCTTGTCAGACTCCTTTTCCCTGGTTAGATTTTACTTAGTTTCATCACTCTCAACTAGGTCATCTGAAACCCACAACCTTCCTATGTGGTTTGTGATCACAGCTTTCCTACTACAGTGAATGAAGCTGTTACCTTACAAAAAAAAAAAAAAGTAGACTTGCTTAATATGCTTGTTTAGAAACTGTAGTCAAATGAGTCTTTGTTTTTTCTGGGGATAACAAGAAGGGAGTGATATGGCTCGTTTTGTGCTTTGCAAGCTGTTCCACACTGTACAAGACACATAGAGTTTCTCACCAGTTTGAATTTCTTCTCAACATTCTGACTGCAGATTTTTGTACCTTAGCTTTCTTCTTGCTCCTTGGTAGCGAGTCAACTGATCTAAAGCTTGCTCTTGCATCTTTTTTTTTTTTTTTTCTTTTCTCTTTTAACATTCTGGGTGGGAGATGAGAATAGCTGGCTCTGCTAGTACGTATTGTGAATAAGGAGAAATGGTTCTACATGTGGTATTTATGACCTATCAAAAAAAAATGCAGGCAAAGATGTGTTGTGAAATATATTTAAGCAGATTTGGGTCCTTCCCAGCTGAAGTGGATCAGAGCCACAAAGTCTGGACTGGATCAAAGCTTTCCCAAAGTTCAAGAGTTTCTAGATTTGTGGGGTTTTGGCCAACTCTAGACATAAATTAAACAAAGTTTGTTCTAGCCACTGTTGTCAATGAAATTACATGCCTTTATAGCAACTAAAGGTTTGTCCCTGTGTCACTATGACAATTTAATCTGTTCTTCAGCCTTAAAAGTCTGTGTTTGTTAATGTGCATGGTTTCATTATCTTGCTTAGGAAGGTTTTTGTAACAGAGCAAATTAGTCCTTTTCCTGTTGTAGCTTCTAACCCAGTGCTCAAATTATATGTCTTGTCTTGAGTTCAGAGAGGGGAATAAGTAATAGGGACATGAGATCTGTCTGTAGCACTAATAGTTTTATCAAAACTAGCAGTTTCCCTAATGTCTTTCACTAGTGTTTTAAAGCTTGCTGTAAGAATGATTTTAGGGCTCAGTCATACCCATCTGAGGCAGCACGAGGAGCACAGAGGAACTGCTGCTCCAAGTGCTGAAATGCAGCTGATTTTGGGGTAGAGGTCAGTGAATGCTTGAAAAATTCAGAAACACTATACATCAGTTTTAGAACAGGGATCAAAAGAGAGTGCAGAGACAGGCACGGATAGGCAGAAAGCAAGAGCTGAACTGGAGCTTGCCTACAAGGGTAGGGGCTGATCTACCAGCTCCTACAAAATTCTCACAAGGTATCTTGTAACTATAAGGAACCATAAATGGGGTAGTTAAGAAGAGTCCTATCTTATCTGATCACTAATGCTGCTTCCTGCAGGTGTTTGGAAGTGTTAAAACTACATATTAATCCAGCCCAACATTGCCTGGGTATGAGGGCTGTCTCAATCATATCTTAAGTCATCATAGGTGCAGAAAAGCAGTATTTAATTAGTACTGTGAAAATCTGTTTAAATCCAAGTGTGTGACTCCCTTTAAAAAAAAAAAGGGGGGAAAGGAAGTTAATGTGGATAAAGAATACAGATAGAGACTATTTGAATCTGGACTTGCAGAATGAGATCCAGTGGAAAAAAAAAATCCTCTGGTCACAACAACAGCATTGCGTTCCCACATGAGCATTTTTCTTGGATTGAGTAGTGCCCTAGATCATCCTCTTAATCTCTCAGACTGACTGGAGTTTTCACCAGCAGTTGCAAAGGAGCAGCATTTGAGGCCAGAATATGTTTATCTTGCAAATGAGCCAAGAAAGGAGAATGCTGTAGTCCTCAGACAGCAGCGCAGGCCTCTAGGGAGGTGCAGAGAATCAGAAAATCTGTTTTCCATTTGGATGCTTTGTACCTATGTGACTGATGAGCTGGGACTGAGATCGTTGCCACCACTTCATTTCTTGTTAAGTGTTGATAGACCAATAAACTAACCATGAGATCTGATCGGGCCTGCTTTGCAGATTCAAGGAGACATTCGTTGTGAAGCCCACATATTTGGCCTCCCTGCCCTCTAATTTTTCATTCACTTGAAAACTGGAGCCGGGTCGTAACTTGTTTTTATGATACTTACTTTGGCTGTGGCAACTAAATCATTGTATGAGGTTTTTAAATTCATCCCCTTAATGATTTCCGACAGTTTTCGTGTCAAAGCATTGCTTTGTGCAGAGACAGACGAAGCACAGGTTTCATCTGTGTATATAGTCCTGTGTGATATTTATAGTGACAAATGCTCTCTGCACTTTTGCTGTGAAAGCAAATAGTGTGCGTGTTAGTCGTATCTGTATAGATTCGTGAGAAATGCCAAAAAATCACTACAGTGATCTGTAAAACAAAAAAAATGCTTTTAAGAAGCCCAAGAAATATGGAATGCTTTGTCATAGCCTTGCACAGATTTAATCCCCAGAAGAGCAAGGATTTGAAGCTGTACTGAGATTTGTTGTTTTAATTTGAAAGCTATGCTAGTATCATGGGTCATGTACTGGAAAGAAAAACTGGAGATGCTCATATATACAGACAGAAGCATCTGGTGAGAACACTAATGAGCTCTAACAGTGCTGTCAGTGAGTTTGTTTAGATTAAGGCTGCCAATCTACATCTGGTGATGAAACCTGTTAGGATCTCTAAAAGTTAAGCAGCAGAAATAATTTAAATCATAAATAGAAGGGAAAAATGGTATTTCAGAACTTTCCTTCAGCAAGATACTGGTTACTTATGAATTCATATTCCCGTATCATGTTTAGTGTTATCCCAATAAACTTGTAGTAGGGAATTCAGCTTGTTTCCAATAGGAAGCTATTGAGACAGCTTGTTGTAAAGAGGAAGAATAAATGGGAAGGTTAATGGATTTTGGATTCTCTCTTTCTTCCTCCCTCATACAAAGAAATGAAGTTGGATAACTGAAATCAAGTTGCATTGAGTTTTACACTGGTTTTCTTATGCGTTGGTTGGAAGAAAATTTGGATTCATCTGATCAGGAGTATGCAACTCTTTCTGTATGGCCATCCCATGCACCGTTATGTATTCTCTAGTATATCTGAACAGTGTTGGAGGCTCCCTGATAACATAAAAGCATCCCCTGACAGCTGCTTTGGTTCCTTGTTTGTTAACTTTAGAAGTGTTTGCCCCAGGTCACCCTATGTTTAATGCCGGCTGCCAGACATTGCGAAAGTAATTTTGCAGGAGCATCCAAAAGAGTATCTTATCTGTAGGTCCTATGTACCTAACTGTAGCGCACTGTATCTATACCCCAGCAGCTTTAGTCCTCCCCCAAAATACGTAACAGCTATTCAGAATGTCTCC